CGCAGGCACCGCCGGTGACAGCGCAGGGACTGCCACGGCCTTCCCATGGCTGACCTGAGCTTCATCGAGGACACCGTCGCCTTCCCCGAGAAGGAGGAGGACGAGGAGGAAGAGGAGGAGGGCGTGGAGTGGGGCTACGAAGAAGGTAACCGGCGGCGTTTCTCCTGCTTCGGGGGTCCCGGGACGGCGCTGCACTGTGGCGCGTTCCGAGCACCGCCTGGGAGCCCCGTCTCGCACTGGGTCTCTGTCACTTTCCTCGCTCCTGGGGCGCCGCCGCCCGCCCCCCGCGTGCTCCCGCTGCCCGGGTTCGGGACCTGCGGTGCCTGGAAGAGCAGCAAGAGAGCGGTGCAGGGCACTTGCACTTAAGACCTGGTTCTGCACGTTAGTTGTTGTGAACGATGCTAGCGACGCTCAACTCTTTCTAAAACATGTCTTTAATTTCACACTGCATCAGGGGTCTTGGCCATTAAGAGTTGAGTTTTAATAGAAACTCATTTTCCTCTACTTATCCCTGAAAAGTAGGGGTCCCAGTGGCCAACAATTAGTGCTTTGTTTACTACATACTCTGAAATAATAATTTCAATGATAAAAATTAGGAATGGGCACGTATCTATGTAGTATGTGTACAAGTGCACACTTCAGTGATTTGCATTTCTAGTAGGAGCTGTTAATAGCATCAGCATTATAGTTTTTGGCTCTCACTAAGCATGTGGGAAGTTACAGCTGTTTCCTAAGTACTGAACATAATTGAACTAATGAGCAGAGGAAATTTTTGTGCCGTTTTTTTTTCTAATCACTTAAAGGTGACTTCGATTTTCCTCGAACCATAAATCATTATAGCAATGTGGGCAAATTCAAGTGAGTGGAATATTTCATCAGACCAGGATGTTGTATGTTGTAGTAATATTATTAGATTGTTCATATAATAAATCTAAAAATTTATACATGCTCACCATATTTCGTCTGTATTATGATAGCCAAATCTCTCTTCAAGATGTTAAGGATCATAAAATTGCTTGAACCTGTTTTTGCATGTTTAATTTTACTGTAACTTACTTTTTTGGAAACCTGTTGTAATTTTTTTTTTTTCATTTTGTCCTTAGGTGTGGAGTGGGGTTTGGTGTTTCCTGATGCTAATGGAGAATACCAGTCTCCCATTAATCTAAACTCAAGAGAAGCTAGATACGACCCCTCCCTGCTGGATATCCGCCTCTCTCCAAATTATGTAGTCTGCCGGGACTGTGAGGTCACCAATGATGGTCATACCATTCAGGTTATCCTGAAATCAAAATCAGGTACTGTAGAACACATGTTTATGTGCTAGAAGTAAGCTAGAAGCTGGAAGTCCTAATAGAGTTGATAAACACTGATTTAATATGTATGATTTTAAAGGTACAACTAACAGCTATATTTTCAAGACATATTCATATGTTATAAAAGGCATTTTTGGAGAATTTTCTGAAAATTTGAAAAGAATGAAAAGGTGAAATTATGAAGATCTTAGTTCATTGTTCTTTGCGTGATATTTGTGGAACCACCTTATTCGATCAACTCACACCTTGTGAACTATGAGGAAAAGTATATGGGAATGCACTGGTCTGCATTTGGTTCTAAGTTGTTGATTAGTTGAAATCATATAGATACTTGTAATCTTGTTTTACTACTTTTTGAAACCAGGGATTAGGATTTATTGTTGTAGTCTCACATTAAGATAGACTGTTCAGATTTTCTCTACTATATTAATACGACAAGAAGAATTTTAACAATTAAGAATTAGAAAAATCTTCTAAACTCAGCCAAAGATTTAAATGGCAAATAAAACTCTTGCCTCTTTTTAACTCCACCTTTCCCTTTGAACCTGTTTTAGTTGGATCTGAACTATTTTGTGAAAAATGAAAATGTATAGGGAAATTGAATGGTAGCTTCAATGTAGAGGAGAAGAGAGCAAATATTTTTTAAAAGTTGTATTAATATGCTTTTTATAGTGAGAAAAACTCTTTTTCCCTCATGGGGGAAGGGGAAGTTAAAAGTATGTAGATGCAATATGTATATGTACCAGAACTCCATGGTGAATGTATTTATAATGTATTGTAAATATATAATAATAAAAAAGGGAAGAAAAAGCAGTTATAAAGGAAGTAATGCAAAGTTATAGTATGTTGAAACATTAGGATGTGCTTGATAAACAGACTGCTCAAATTAACTCCAAATTGCTAAATTTAATATTTGAGATCATAAAATCTCTAGATCTATTTTAGGCAAGGTAGATATTGATTTCCAACTTGAATTTTTTATTCATTATGAGTTTCTGCCCTTTAATTTAGAATCCATGAGACAGCCATGTAGTCCTCCCTGCTGTTCTAACACTGGGTTTCATATGTATTTAGTCAAATATATACATTTACATCAGATTTGAATTTAAGTTGGAATTTCTAGGGGGTTCATCTGTGAAGGGACATTATAATTTTCTGAGGTACAATTTTTATGTGTAATATAAGGTGGTCCAGTGATGACTGTTCTGGCAGTAAAGTACATTTGCAAGTATGATATGTGTCATACAACATGTTGACATGCCTATAACCTGAATGGTATGCCCATTTGCAGTTCTAGAAGTAGATGTAGATCTGTAGAACAGAAATACATTTTGTGTTAGGCACCATGGTGAGTGTTGGCTCTGTACAAATGAGTAACAAAATTCTTGCTGATTCACAGAAGTGTGAAAATGCAGTTCTTTAGTTCTTTAAAGTTCAAGTGTAAATATGATAGGGTAGTGCTGTAAAGTAATACGAGGGGCCATAGGGCAAGACTCAGGGCAAATAAATACCCCACTGAAATATTGTGTGTCCAGTCCCGATTGAAGATCAAATTTACTTTGTCAAAATAAATTTATAATTTTCTTCTGGTACCTTCACAAACATTCATAATTTTCTTTGGTCCTTTCATTTTATCCCAAAATAGAGACTATGAAGCAGAGTCCCTACCCTTTCGCCTTAGGTATGGTTCTTTTTCCCCTCCTTTTCTTTGCCTATTCTCCTTTTCCCTTCCACACCAAGGAAGGACTTCGTGTTTCTCAGCTCCATTTTGATGTGTTGGCTTCTCTGCCTCCTGGCAAACCCTCCTGTTCTAGATGCCCTGTTACTGTTGCTGTAAGGATTTCTTCCCTCTCAATAGACTTTCAGACTTTAAAAAACAAAAGCAAGTGAGTAGTTTTTTTTTTTTTTTCAGAATATGTCAGCTTCTCCAAGGAACAGTCTATAAGCCCCGAATATCTTGTCATTCATTTATATAAAGTTTTATCTTTCTCAAAATACCACAGACATAATTTAAATAGTTGAATATTACTACATTTTCTTCTGTCTCTAATAACAACTACTTTGAACTTTTTCAGCTGTTTGTCTGGCAGTCACCTCCACATTTTTTAATAATATCCTTATGATTTTTTTACTTTGACATTTGAAATATCTTTGAACCTTCTACTATGGAAGATGCATTTGGTTCTCTTAGTATACTCTCTTTTGTGGTTTGTCCCCACCATCATCCTTAAATTACATTTTTATTTAAATTATTACTTGATGCTTCTATTATTATGACTGTGTAACTATATTTTCTACCTGAGCCTGTATTCTCTCTCCTTTATTGACCAATATTTCTTTTCCTGGAGTTAATGTATTTTTATTTATTTTTAAATTTATCATCTGTCACAGATTACTTTTTCTCTGACAGATGACAGATCCTCTCTCAGGATATTCAAAGGCATCAGAGAGTCTAGTCCCACCTCTTGCCTTTTCTTCTTTTTCCTAGAGGCTGCTGTTCTTTCCCTGGACTGCTTGCTCTCCAGGCCTTTTTTACAGCTATCACCTGCCACTCCCTGGACCTCACTTCTGTGAAATCTCTGTTCTTCTCCCTTGTTGAATCCCATGTTCCTAAAATGCTGTGTCATCCTCTTTTGGAGTTGTTTCATCATTTTAGGGAGTTTATTGGTTTGTTTTCTGTTGTAGTTCATCTTCCAGCAACTTCCTGAGAAAAAGGGCCAGTGGGTGCAAATGTTAGGGTGCCTTGTGTGTCTATAGGGGTCTCATTATGATGCATACTTGATTGGATTTGTCTGGAAAAATGGTCAGTGTTTTTTTTTTGTGTGTCATTTGGCGTTTGATTTCATTGCTGCATTGCTTTCTGGCTTCCAGTCTTGCAGTGGAAAGATCTAGTGTCATCTACTTTTCAACTTCTGCGTCTTTTTTTCTTTACTTCTTCTATAAGCTTTTACAGTTTTCCACTTCTGTTGTTTTAAAATTTTATAGCCATATGCCTAAGTATGACTCATTTTTAATTATGCTGGGCACAGATGAATTTGCTTATTACTCTTTTTTTTTCTTTTCCTCTCATTTACACCTATTTTCTATTGGGCACTCTTTGGCTTTTTAGTAGATTTCCCTAATTTATATCCTTCAGTTTTTCAATTGAACTTAAAATTTTTGATCTCATATTTTTAATTTCTAAAAAAATTATGCTGATTTTATGAATTTAAAAAAAGTACTGTACTGTGTACTTAAAATGTACCAATAAACTCAATGAGAAAAAAAATGTAAAGCAGAGCATGCAGTGTGAAAAATGTGAGAATATGAGATCTTTCTTCATTTTTTCTTGACTTGCTTCTTTCGTGTACCCGTTCATATGTCTGTTGTCCTTCTTCTACTTGTTTTGGTCCCTCCGTTTCATTATGGAGATTCTTCTCAAATATCTAGTGATTTTTACTCTTTGTTCCTACTTACAAATGTCTCTAAACAGTGGATAAGGGTGGGGATGAATTTCACAGTAATGTGATTGATTACACAGGGATCTGACCATGTTGGGAGGCACCTTGGAGGCCATATACATTTCCCTGGGACTTGCCTATCCTTTGTTTGTATTTTTGTTTTGGGCGTGGGGCTTGGATAGCACCTGGTTGCCTGCATTCTGGCTGTTGGCCACAGACAGGAGAGCATCACCTTTAGCATGTCCACATTCGCTTCTTCTGCTGCCAGGGAAATAAAAAGAAGCTGCCTAGCCATGAGGAATGGGATTGGGAGGTTTAACGATTTAAAAGATCTCCTTTTAAGGATTTTGAATCTGTTTTCCTTTTTGCTGTTTCCCATTCTGTAACTCTACATCCCGGAATATCTAATGCTCTATCTCCTAAGTCTATCCTCATGTCTTTTTCCTTTTGGCTGCTGTAACATCTCATACTGGGTAATTTATATAATAGAACTTTATTTCTCACTGTTTTGAAGCCTGGGAAAGGCAAAATCAAGGTACCAGATGGCTGGGGAGAGCCCACTCTTTTTCTCATAAATGGTGCCTTGTTGCTGAGTCCTCTCATGCAAAGCCACAGAAAGGCCCAAAAGTCTCCCTGGGGAGGGGGAAGTGAGAGGGTTAGGGGAAGAGAATGGAATAAATATGAGAAAAGGTAAAAACAGTTTCTCTGGTGTGAAAAACTATAATTGTACATAAGATCCTAATGATATAATTGACAATGTGAAATAGGAAGAAAAGGGCTAAAGGTGTAGGGGAAATGGGAAGGGTAGGGGAAAGGAAATAGGGAAAAGAAAAAATGGAAATAAAGTATTTGTAAAAAGGGAAGGGAGCAGCGGGTGAAGGGAGGGCAGGGACAAGGGGAAAAAATGAGAACCAAGACCTGTCATGTAAAGGCACAAGATCCCAGTGATGAATGTAACTGTACTGTGTACCTAAAATGTACCAATAAACTCAGTGAGGGGGAAAAACAACCCAGAAACAAAGTCTTTGTAAATAGGGAGAGGTAGAGGGTGGAAGGGAGAGCAGAGGAATGGGGAAAAAATAAGAACTGAGATATATATCATAAAGGTGCAAATTCCCAATGATGAATGTCATCATAATGTATCCCCCAAACTCTTTTATAAGGCACTGGTTCTGTTCATGAGAGAGGAATCCTTGTGACCTTGTCATTTTTTAAAGGCTCCACCTCTGCTACATTTGGAATTAAGTTTGAGCATTTTGGAGCAGACACAGACATTCAAAACATAACAACTGGGTTCTGTGGTGGCAACTGCTTCTTGTGGCCTTCGTTTTCCTATAGCTTCTCTGTTTTGCTAAGTCACTTCCTACTTTTGGTCTACTTAGCTCCCCCAGTTTTTGTGACATTTCTCTGCCTCTGTTATCTCCAATTTTGTCCATTTCCCTCTTCCAAATTATGCCTTTTTTGGTTATTGAGGATTGAACAGGGAGAGAAAAATAACTGGATATACAATTCTGTTTCTCTAACCGGAGGTGTTCCCTTCAT